GGGGTCCAGATGATGATTTTTCACGAAAGTAAATCTTCATATCGTGTATCGACGCGACCTGAAGCGGCTCGCCATTATATATCGCGGTATGCTTTCTACCGGCGGTGTCCGCATCGCACGCACCGACGGTAATTGCAATTAACGCGTCTGACACGGCGGTTAGTGAGAGGCCTCCGCGCGCGCAAAAGAGGAACGAGAGTTTCCCAACCGGATGATCCACGTTCCGCTATCGCGCTATTTCGCGAATATTCCTCGAATTTACTTCGCCGGGACCATTGTGCGCCATCGTGCGCCGTTTCGTTTGACATGAGAACGGAACTGTGCTCCGGAGAGGCAGGTCGATAGGTATTCGCAGCCAAATCTCTTATATTTAAGATTATTTTAAGTTCGTCCTTAGATTCCCTGTAGCCAACACTGGAAGAAGGATTTAATAACAATCACCAAGATTTCGTGAATATGTTTCGTGAATATGTTTCAAATGTTTGATTATTGTAACTAAATCATTTGATTACAGTAATCAAACATTTGCACGGAGAAAAGAATTTTGATAGAACAGCGAATTGTTTATTAACATAGTGATGGCAAAAAAAATTTGTCTGCACAGCAGAAAGATTTGTTAAGAGTATTAATTGCTATTTGCTGGATATACGGACGGCAAAATAATTTAGTGATGCCAAATAAATTTTATTGCTGTCGCAACGACGTTTTATCACAACAGCAAAATCATCTTTTCCGTGTAACAAATTTCCTGCTGTCACTATATTGACAAACAATTTGCTGTTCCAGCAAGACTTGTTTCCTCCGTGTAGTTGAAACATATTCACAAAATCTTGGTAATTGTTACCAAATCTTCGGGGTACCTACTCAAACCTGAAAAGAGTATTCCTTGAGATTTCCTTAATCTTTCAGGTAATCTATTACAAATTCTAAATAAAATGAAAATATTTTTAAGTGTATCTCGCAAATAGATACATATTTATTATGTAAAATTAATATTTTCCATCCATACAAATTTATAAATCATAAATTAAAATTAAGAATGATTCGAGTTTCAATGATTAAATTCAAGAAATTTTAAAAGAAATTACAAAAATTTTGAAAAATAAATATTTAATATCGCATACAATTTTAAAATTTTATCTTCAAAACTTACTAATAAAAAAATTATATATTAAATAACCGGTACAAAACGCAAATTTTATAAATCTATTAAAATATATATCCATATTAATTCGATGAAATTGCACCTAACACGAAATTATTAACGTCAATATTGAATATCAGATGTGTGCCAACCGATGTGCTTTAAATATCAGAGCAATATAATTGAATATTTAAATTATATATGTAGATATATAAAAGAGAATCTATTATAAATATAAAAGAACTGCTAATATTTAAATATTAAACAGGAACTTAAAAACAACTTTAAACGTATACATATATAATAATATAAATATAATCTGAACATCACGGACTATTGATTTAGTTTAGTTTCTCATTTCAAAATGGCAGAATTGAGAATTATCAGATAAAGGAACCTTACATATAACTAAGCGTTATTCTAAGATGGGAGATAAATAATAATAAAGTAGGAGAAAAATTAACTTTTAAGGAATTAAAAAACATATTTTTGCCAATAATATTATAAATAATAAAGTAAGCCACACATGTGTCCTCGGAAAAATGTTCAGCAACTCGATGTATATCGTAGACACCTTTCACGAACAGAGACATTTTGGTGAACAAAGCGGACGCCATTTTCGATCAAAAAGTCCGGAGACTCTAACTTGCGGACTCTACGGAGACATACGCGGGACGCCCCATCTGCATTGCGTACGGGACGGAAAAGGACGAGGCGGAGGAGACGGGGCCGAAATAGAAGTGGCCAAAGGTCGAAAGCGCGAGGGGCTGGCGGCACAAAGCGCCGCGCGCGCTCTCGCTCCGCTCTTTAGGTCGAGCGCGTCGTAATCCCTCGCCCATGAAGACGGCACATCGCGATATTACCCTTTAATACCCGCTTTATGGCTGGCGACCGTCGTAGCGGCGCGCTTTTACGACGTACGATCAATCCGGCCAGCTTTGACACGCACCGACGCGTCCGTCGCGCGGGTCGCGCAAAATTCGCGGATTCAACGGGGCGAGACGACGGGGGAAATTTATGAACGAGACGCGTCCGTTCCTGAAACAATCCGCGGATCTTTTCCAGCCGTCTGTCGACCCGCGAATCTGCTTGTCGATTCCACTCGTCGACATCGAAACACCGCACTATTTTCGACTAACACCTCGACAAATTTCTTTCCCGTCTATAAGTTCGCTTGTTTTAGACCAACTTTAGAGAGCTTTTTTGCTTTTAAAACGAAACGAGTGTGTGAACTGAGTGTTGAAGGGAAAGGGAAGTTTCCTTCAGCACTAGTTCGACTGAAACGAACAGGCCTTATGTTCGCGATTTGTCTTCTATCAGAACATCTGTAAGGACACTCGAAGATACTAAAGAAAGGCAGTATGAAGAGATGATGAGAGAATTTGTGACATTGTAGCCAGATTGAAAGGAATCTCCACTTACGGCCAGAAACGGAGATCCGTGCTAACGGAGAGAAAGAGATAGATAGATAGATAGATAGAGAGAGAGAGAGAGAAGGCCGATCGCCAAGATGTCAAGGCGAAGGGTGCACTGGGTGACGCGTACTGCAGCTAACCTTACCGCGGCTAAGCCGAACGTCGATGAGCGGCTCTCCAGGGGGAAACCCTACGGGAAGGCCGGGAGAGAGAGAGCTTCTACGGCGGCGAGAGAGGAAGATGAGTTTCCCGGGAGAAGAGACGTCCGGGAGAAAGCAGCCCTTCACGTGGGGGAGCAGCACCGGGGAGGAGAGCGAATCTGGGACGCGAGAACGAACAACGATGGTCCGGTGGTCGTCGTTTCGCCGGGACCGCCGGGAGGAAGATCCGGTCGACGCGAGTCGGCGCGGCGGCACCCTGCCGTTTCCCCGTGTCTACGTACGTACACACGCACAATGTCGGCCGAGCGCCGGCATTGCGCAGGATTTACACGAGCGAGCAGCCCTTCGCGAGCGTACGCGCAGTGCGCAGGACAGGCACGATGCCGGCCACCACCGTGTGCCGTATAGTCTTAGATCATTGATCCAAATTCTGACTACAGCCGACCGGGCGGCCGAAAATACGCGACTCGGAGCGAATCACTCGAGCGAGTCCGCCGATCGATCCACGCGCGCGACCACCCGCTCTATGTAACGTGCGTGCCTGCGTGTGTACGCGTACGCAACGCGCGTGAGGGGCTGACTATCCCGCGACTGTACCCGATGGGAGTTCCAGGATGGATACCTCGTCGAACACTGCTGTAGCACTGTGTCGGTCTTTCTTCCTTCTCTTGTCCCTCCCCTTTTGATCCCCTTTCCTATTTCCCCTCGAGAACGAGAACGTCGGATTGTAGTGTCGCACTGACTACGGGAACGAGACCGGCGAACGAAGGACGGTATTCCGGCGAAACTTTCGGGGCGAGACCACCCCACCACATACCGTCACTGCAGTGCACCCCCTTAGTAACAAGTCGCCCCCTATCGTGGGTCGCCCGACGGCGACGGCGGCGACGGCAGCGGCGGCGTCAGCCGCCGCCACGGCCGATAAAATCCATATCGTTGACGAGGAATCGCCAGCGTGAATTTCGTCAGGGCTGAATACGTCCGCGTCGTCGGTGACCCGGTTAAAACGTCCGACCGTAGGGTGGACTCGCGCGTATTTCGATCGGCCGTACGATTTCGGCCAGCCCTCTCGCAGAGACCAGAGTGTTCCAAGTGCGCACTCACCTGCTGCTCGCTCGTTACACCCTCCAGCAATGTTCCAGGTTCCTCGAGCCGGGAAGCCTCAAATCGGGTGCGTCAGGTCCCGGGTGTCCCGGTGGAAACGCCGCGATGCAGGACGAACGGTGACGTCGCTCTTGAGGAGACCTGCGGGAGACGTCCCGCGGGAAGGAGTACGCGGATACCCCGGAGACTGGCCGGTCTCCGAGTTGTTCGCTCTCTTCTTCTCGCAACGGGACCCGGCCGGGTCCTCACCTCTCTCTCCGCGGCTACTGTGCAACACCGAGAGATCGCAGCAGTTGAGAACAGATGAGAGTACAGTAGAACAAAGTAGAGTAGATCGTAATGAGAAAACAGAGAGAGAGAGAGAGAGAGAGAGGGGGAGGAAGGAGAGGGGAGAGAGAGAACGAGAGAGTGAAGGATAACGACGGATAGAATCAGGGAAGATGAGAGACAGTTAGGTCGGTCGTCGGGTCAGGTCACTGGAGGAAAACGGAGAGCGGCGGAATGACAGCTCATGGAGGCTACGGTGGTGACGTACGTGTGCGTGTGTATACGTGTCTATATGTGTACCAGAACAAGTACGACGATGCCGGTGTCCGTAGGCGACGGGGGTGGCGGGCGGGCGAGCGATCGGGCCGAGAGAAACGGACAGAGAGAAGAATGATGGAGAGAGAGAGAGAGAGAGAGAGAGAAAGAAAGAGAGGTACGTGGAGACCGGCGTAGAGAGAGAGAGAGAGAGCAGCGGTCGCCTCCTCCTCCTCCTCCTCGACGACGAGCGGGATGTTGTCCGATGCGGAAGTATCTCGGTCGATCCTCGGCGTCGGCGACGCTAAATCCTCCTCGGCGTCCGGCGCTACGACGACTGGCTCTCTTCCGTGAGCTGTCGCTCGACGACGGCGATGACGGTGACAACGATGACGATGATGACGGTGACGGCGACGGTGACGGCGACGATTTTCACAGTGCCTGCGGCCCC